AATTTTTTACTGATTAACCATTTAATTCATTAAATCATTGCAAACTTATTCGTTTTTAGGTATAAATAATGATCAATTAATTATTCCTGGCTGACCGGACTATTACTTTAAGAGAAATACAGTTATCATACTGATATCATACATACATAAAGGCCCTCTATAATATTCCATATATTGTTTAACTAAGACTAATTCAGCTCTTTATCAAAAAATAAACATGAAGATCTACTAGGTTATACTATGACAATAAGACCCTAAGTGAGTTTTAACAAAATAAAAACAGTCAGAGGAACTAATGGGAGGATGTGCTGCTCTGATTTTAAAAGGCAAACACTGATTGTTCTCTATGTTTTTAAAAGCCTAATGTTGAGAGATTAAATAAATGTTTCAATTGCAATTAAAAGAACAAAAGAAAAAGGTATTGACAGAAGGAACCAACTGCAGGAAGCTGAACGCTTTAATTATAATTAAATGCAACACAGTCCATAAAAGATCATTCTGAAGCATTCAGCTGCTCTGAAAACCATACATCGACATCAACGTGTCCTTCCTCCTATCTCAGAGTGCAGTTCAGAAACTTACATTAGGTTTTATTTATTTTCTCTGCAAGTGAGTGTATAATTTGGCCCCAACGGTTCAGCAGGAAGTTCCCGGCAGAGACGTTTAAAGAGTAGAAGTGCTGATGAGACGCCGGAGTTAAGATTGATAAGATGCTCGCCGTGTAATTGGATGCAGGTGTGCAGAAAGTGCTGCCTAATTTTCATAGAGTTCCAGTGTGAGCGAGTGCAGCGCACAGAATGGCAACTATCCAACATACACCAGGCAGAATAATAAGAAGAGAGGAAGCTTCAGTTTTCACCGTTGCTCAAAGATTATAAAACACATTTGAAAAGAAACTAAATGAAAGGTAAGAAATAACTGCTGTTTCTGCTTTACTGTAAAATAAAGCAAATATATAATTAATTTACACATCCAGTATGTTTTAGTAGCACTGTCATGGTCTCAATGCTGATTGTCAGTTAATATTTTATAGAAGCTTCATCATCTTACGAGGATTTTCATTTCTAGGTCCAAATATTTAAGTCAATTTATTCAGAAGAATGAAATAAGTG